TGACCTGAGCCGAAGGCAGACGCTTAACGACTGAGCCACCCAGGCGCCCCTAAAATAATTATTTAAAAATGAACAGTTCAGTGGCATTTAGCACATTCACAGTGTTGTGCAACCACCACGTCTATCTAGCTCCAAAACATTTTCCTCTCCCCAAAAGTAAATCCTGTCCCTGGTAGCAGTCACTCCCTTACCCCCCGCCAGCCCCTGGCAACCACCACCAGTCTGCTTGCTATCTCTCTGGATTTGCCTGTTCTGGACATTTCATATAAATGGGATCAGACACTATAAGCCTTTTGTATCTGGCTTCTTTCACTCAGCATAATGTTTTTGAGGTTCATTTATGTTGTATCATATATCAGGACCTCATTCCTTTTCATGGCCGAGTAATATTCCATTGCACAAATATACCACATGATACTCATCCATTCATTTGTTGATGGACCTTGGGATTGTTTCCACCTTTTGGCTATTCTGAATAGTGCAGCTATTCATATTCACATGCAAGTATCAGAGTACGTTTTCCATTCTTTTGACTATATACCTAGGAGAGGAACTGCCAATTCTTTTTTTTTTTTTAAGTTTTATGTATTTGAGAGAGAGAGAGAGCACCAACAGGGGTGGAGGGGCAGAGGGAGAGGAAGAAGTAGACTCCCTCAGGCAGGGAGCCCGATATGGGGCTCGATCCCAGGACCCCAACATCATGACCTGAGCTGAAGGCAGATGCTTAACCGACTGAGCCACCCCGGCGCCCCTTGGAACTGCCAATTCTATGTTTTAACTTTTTGAGGAACTGCCAACCCACGTCTCAAAGCGGCTGTACCACCTCAAAACTTTTTGTAACACTTTTTTTGGGGGGGACTTGGCCAGAATGCTCTTGTTTGGAGGGGGGCAAGAGGAACCCAGCTACCGAAAGTAGAGGACTTAATGTCCCCAACTTATCGAGCTCCTCCCATGAGCATCAGATGGATTCTTGCTCTTGTTACCATTTTGTAGATGAGAAGATGGAGGCTGTCAGGGTGACAACCATTTGGGGATCTATAGTGTGTGCTCTTTCTGCTTGGAGCAGAGGCTGACCATGAGATCAGGACCTGAGCGAAAATCAAGAGTTGGATGCTTAACCAGCTGAGCCACTCAGGTGCCCCCGTCCCTCTGCCTCTCCCTCATAAGGACAACTACAACTGAGATTCCAGCTGGGACCAACCTAGACAACCCAGGCTACTCTAGACCCTTAACTTAGTCCCATCTGCAAAGACTTTGCCATAGGAGGTCTCATTCTCAGGTTCCAGAGAACTGATATCTTTGGGGGGGCCCATTTTCAGCCTCCCCCATCCCTGCTTTATCTCCATCAAGACATGCAGTGTTTACATAGTGTTCTATCATGTCTCTTGGTGGCCACCTGTCTTAAGGGCTGGGACCATGTGTGTCCTGCTCGCCATTACATCCCCATGCCCAGAACAGAGTCACACACATAGGAGGGGTTCAAACACGATTTGCCAACTGAATGACGAAGAAATGCAAGTAGAACACTTGGTAAGAGGCCTGGCATATGAGAGTATTTAGAGGAAGGTCACAATTCTGAATCATAATCACTAGCTGCCTTCCCTGGCATTGCTGGGGGAGAATCACTACCCACTATTAAATTGGTAAAGAAACAAATATCCACAGCTACTCCCTGGTGAGCATGTCACCTGGATCTGCCCAGAACCTTCTGCCTGGGACTTGTGACTTGGAGCTCTCTGTGCTTCATTTTGGGAGGTTTTTTGCTCCCCACCCCGACCCCTAACCGGGCTTTCCAGAGGGCATATCGTCTACACCAGGCAGTCTGTCTTTTTAAAAAGATTTTTTGGGGTGCCTGGGTGGCTCAGTCAGTTAAGTGTCCAACTCTTGGTGTCGGGTCAGGTCATGGTCTCAGGGTTATGGGATCGGGCCCCGCATTGGGCCCCGCGCTCAGGGCAGAGTCTGCTTGGGATTCTCTCCCCCCTCTTTCTGTGCCCCTCCCCCCCAAATAAATAAATAAATCTTTAAAAAAATTTGAAAAAAGAGTTTTAATTGTGCTAAAATATACATAACATTTATCATCTTAACCATTTTAGGTGTCCAGTTCAGTGGTACTAGGTACATTCACACTGTTGTACAGCCGTCACCACCATCCATCTCCAGAACTTTTTCATCTTCTTCAATTAAAACTCTGTCCCTGTTAAACACTAACTCCCCCACCCTGTCCCCCTTCCCCCAGCCCCTCGGGCCCACCATCTACTTCCTGTTTCTGAATCTGACTCCTCTAGGGACCTCTTATAAGTGGGCTCATGTAGCATTGGTTTTTTGTGTCTCTTTTTTCACTTAACATAATGTCCTCGAGGTTCATCCATGTTGTACCAGGTGTCAGAATTTCCTTTTTAAGGCTGAATTATATTCCCCTCTATGGATGGACCACATTATGTTTCTCTGTTCTTCTGCTGATGGGCACTTGGCCTGTTTCCACCTTTTGGCTATTGTGATTAATGCTGCTGTGAACATGGGTGCGCAAATATCTGTTTGGCTCCCTGCTTTCACATCTTTTGGGGATCTACCCAGAAGTGGGATTGCTGGATCATATTGTGATTCTGTGTCTAATATTTTGAGGAACCACCATACTGTTTTCCACAGCAAAGTGGCACCATTTTACATTCCCATGAGCAACGCATAAGGGTTCAAGATTTCTCTGCATGCTTGCCAACTCTTGTTATTTCCTTTCATGATAAGGAGCCATCTTAATGAGTGGTCATGTCATCTGCATGACTTAAAATGTAAGTCAGACCATCCCAATGGGGCTCTCCAAATTTGGTGATAAGCCACCCAGCTGTTTTCCCAGGGTGTGGTAACCCATAGAAACTTCACATCTTCTGTATGGAGGATGTAGTTGGGCATTGGGAGCCAGTGAGTCTGAGACCCTAATGGGGGGAACCGTGGGCAGGGGTGGGCGGGGACTGGGGACTCAGGCAAGGACCCGGAGGGCAGGGTTCATTTAGCTATGTTGTCCCAGGAGGTGGGGCGCAGAGGGAACCATTGGCTGGTTGGACTGAGTTGGAAAGGTGAGATGAAGACAGGACCCATCCATTTTCAGGAGTCTCCTTCGCATCGTCTGAGATCTGTGAGCCCCCAGAGTGATGGAGTTTGGCCATTGGTGGCGTTCAGGGGGTCTCTGCCAGCTCCCATCTCCCTTGAGTTAGAGGAACTGAGATTCAGTTGTCCAGAAAGTGGAGAGAATGTAAGACCTAAGTCCAAGGACCACTTTAAGATTCCATAGAATGAGGCATGCCCATCCCTGAGTGTGGCTCACAGCACATTGTAATGCTCCATACCTGGTCACTGTGTTATTAATATTGTTGTTACCTACCCACTTTATTTGGGTTCCTTTAAGAGCTGACCCCTGGGCAAGGATTTGAGTGCGAGAAGCTTATTTGGGAAGTGATCACAGAACATACCAGTAAGGAAAAAGAAAGTGAACCCCAAAGAATTGAAAACAGGGACTCTAACATGTACCTGTACATGCATGTTCATAGCTGCACATTTCACAATAGGCAGAGGTGGGAGCAGCTCAGATGTTCATTAACAGATGAATGCATAAACAAATTGTGATACATCCTTACAATGGAATATTACCCAGGGGTGCAAGAAATGAAGTTCTGATACACACTATGACGAGGATGAACCTTGAACACATCATGCTGGGTGAAAGCAGCCAGACACAAAAGGTCATATAATATATGATCACATTGATATGAAATAAAATATCCATAGAAGCAGAAAGCAGATTAGGGGCACCTGGGTGGCTCAGTCGGTTAAGCATCTGACTCTGGTCTCAGCTCAGGTCTTGACCTCAGAGTCGTGAGTTCAAGCCCCACATTGGGCTCTGAGCTGGGCATGGAGCCTACTTGCAAGAAAGAGAGAGAAAGCAAGCAAGCAAGCAAATTAGCAGTTGCCAGGGCTTGAAGGTATAGGGGAATGGGGAATGACTGCTAATTGGGATGGGATTTCCTTTCGGGGCGAGGAAAAAATTTAGGGCTAGATGGAGGTGGTGGTGGTACAACACCGTGGATGTGCTAGATGCTACTGAATTGTACATAGTTGACCTTTGAACAACATGGATTCGAACTGCATGGGTCCACTTATATGCAGAATTTTTACAGTGCAGCCCCGTAAATGGATTTCTCTTTCTTATGATTTTTTTCAATATTTTCTTTTCTCCAGCTGACTTTACTGTAAGAATGCAGTATATAATACATATAACATACAAAGTATTTGTTATGATAACTTTATGTTATCAGTAAGGCTTTCCAGTCAATAGTAGGCTATTAGTAGTTAAGATTTTGGGGAGTCAAAACTCATATATGGAATTCTGACTGCATGAGGGGGTTGGCACCTCTAACTCCTTCATTGTTCAAGGGTCAACTGTACTTTCAAATGGTTTGTTTTATGTTGGGCGAATCTCACCTCAGTTAAATAAAGAAGAAAAAGAGGGGAGACAGGGGAAAGGAGGCAGCTAATAGAGAAAGTTTTGACGGTGGGCAGCTGGAGTTTAATACCACTGGGGAAGCCTGGTGGTGCATGTGGAACCCACATCTCAGGAGCATGGCACCCCAGGGGAGAAGGTATCTATCCAGCAATATCTATCAGTCATTGGTTAAGAGCTGCTTTCAATGTGTGTGTGTGTTTAAATTTTCCAACACTCTGGCCATCTGTTCATGGGCAGAGAAGTCAGGAGGGATGCCCTGCAAAGTCAAGGCTGAGGGCATGTGGACAGGGCACTGGTGCATCCATCTGGCCAGCCAGCTGCAGGTCACTGCTGGGGGAAAGGTTGAGGGGTTTCCTTGGGGTCCAGGACTCCTGTGTATTGAGCATCTGCGGTGTGCCGGGTGCACGCCGCTTGACTCCACAGGTCATCCTGTGTCTGGTGCACACATGGCCAGAGGGTGGCTCCTATGTGCACTGACCCCCCCCCATCCCGTGTGTCTCCCCAGGATGCTGCCCATCACAGAACACCTGCTGCACCTCCTGGGAGTGGAGAAGACCTCGTTCCGCCTGTATGCCGTGTCTGGGCTCCTGCTCTCCCTGCTCTTCTTCCTCTTCCGCCTGCTGATGCAGTTCCTGAGGCTCTGCTGGCGCTTCTACGTCACCTGCCGCCGCCTGAGCTGCTTCCCCCAGCCACCCCGGCGCAGCTGGCTGCTGGGCCACCTCGGCATGGTGCGTGTGTGGCTGGGCAGGTCCCGGGTATTCAGTAAGGATGATGGGCCTGACTGCTTCCGCCATCCCCCAGGAATCCGGCTGGAGCCATGAACAGACCCATTTTACAGGATAAGGGTGTGACTGAGGCTCAGAGAGGGCAAGCAGTTGACCTGAGGTCACACAGCCGGGATGAGGCAGAGCTGACTCGAAGGTTTTTCTCTGTAATTTCAGGCTGTTGCCGAAGCAACAGGTGCCAGTGCCTGTGAAAGTCGTCAGGTTCTGTAACCCCCGGGGGTGGGGGTGGGGGTGGGGGACTCCTGTCGATGTTGTTGCCCTGCCCCACCCCCACTGTGTTTGCACAGTCTCTCTCATTCTCGTGCCTTGTCTTTCATTTCTTACTTCACATAGAGGTGCTAAGCATTAGATCAGGTGCTTTAAAATATTAACTCAGTCCTCTGGACAATCCTAGGAGGTAGTTCCCATGACTACCCCCGTTTTGCTCCTGAGACTATTATGGCACAGAGAGGTTAAGTGGCTGGCCCTAGGTCACACAGCTTGCCGGTGGCATAGTTGGGGTTCAAACCCAGGCCATCTGGCTCCAGAGTCCCTGCTCTTAGCTCTGTATCCTCTGCTGCCTCTTGTTTCTGGATGACAAAACCTGCACTTTTTCAAAAAGAGTTTCAGAGGTCAGAAGAAAGCCAGACTTCTGAGGGCACTGAGGCTTTTAGGGTTCTACAGTCCAGCTCCTAACTGCCTCTGGCACTCATCTGGTCCCCCTTGCAGGCCTAAAGGAAACTGAGGGACAGTTGTGGAGACCTTCCTGGTTCAGGCCTCACGCCGAGTGCAGACGTGGACTTTGGAGAGGCAGTTCAAGGGCAGTGGTCATCAGTGTGTGCCTGATGCCCATCTCTACCCTCTCCTGCCATGTGACCTTGAGCAAATGACTTCACCTACCCGTGCCTCAGTTTCCCCATCTGCAGTGTGGGGATTATGATTGTTCCTAAGAACCTCGTGAGATTGTATTGACAGCTCTTAAAGTCATGTCTGTGGCATGCTTGGCACTGAGCCTGCCATGCAGTGGTGGATGTGCTCAACTCCTGGGTCCTGCAGAGCCTGGAAGTATGAGGGGATTCTAGAAATATTTTGGATTCTACTTGGAGTGAGCGTCCCAGAAGAAGGAAGCAGGAGACACATTTCCACTCAACAGCTCAGAGAACATTTTATGTGGCTTTAGGAATGACTCCCCTGGGGCCAGCATTCACTAAGTTTTGCCCGTTTGTGCCTGAATCTCCTCCTTCCCTTTCACCTCCCACCCCTGCTCGGGCCTCATCCTCTCTTGCTGGACCATGGTCCAGCCTCCTCCCTGGGCTCCTGCCTCCAGTCCATCCCCCATCCTGGCCCCAGGAGGATTCTTGAAACCAACCACGTCCCTCCTCTACTCACACACCCTCCATGGCTCCCCACTGCTGTCTGGAGAAAGTCTCAGCTCCTCAGGTAGTTTTCAAGCCCCTTTAGACTCTAACTCCCGCCCTACTCATGTCTAGTCCTGCAGAATGACTTCCTATTCTTACAACCAGGCTCTGACTTCCCACCTCCATGTCCTTTGCTGGAATTGTGCCCCCTGCCCCGAATATCCTTCTCAGTTAGATGAACTTCTACTCATTTGTCATTCCCCATATCCAGTGCTCTTACTCTGAGAAGCCATCTGGCTTTACTGGTGGTTCTAGAGGTAGTAGCCAGGCTCTGGTGTCCCAGACAGTTGGCCAGGGCCGGTTCTGAAGTCCAACCTTGACCCCGTGGGCCCAGCCTGCCTCCTGGGGCTGTGCGTTCTGGGTGAGGCCATGGTTTCCCTTGGGTGTGGACAGGCTCAGGGCTAGAACCTGATTAAGAAGGAGACAGGAGCCAGAGAGAAGTCATTTATTGGCTTGTTCACTCATTCATTTATTCATTTGATTGGCAGTTGTTGGGCCTTGCAATTGGCCAGGCAAGGGGTTAGGTCCCTTAATATCTGAGCTCTCCCTTAATTCTCACAGGCTATGGAATAGGGATGGATCTTCCCAATATTATGGATTTGATCTTTGGAGCTCAGAGAGGTTAAGTGACTTGCTCAAGGTCACACAGCTGCTGAGAACAGATTTGAACTCCGATCCTGAAGTACTTCTGCCTTGTGTTTGTTAAGAGCAAGCATTTTGGAGCTGGGTGGCCTGTGTTCAGATCCTGGCTTTGCCACTGTGGCAGATGACTCCAGTGTCTGCCCGGATCCTTTTGCCCATTTCTGGATGTGATGGCCTGACCTCCAGCTGCCAGCACCCGAATTCTAGGGCTTCTCTGGCACTGTGCATTGTGAGCGTCAGCGTTAATGCTCCAGGTGTGTCCCTCAGCCAGTGACTATGGGACTGTAGGAGTTGATGTATAAACACCTCAGCTCACTCTTCCTTTGCTGGGTTGACTCTGATACACGTGTCCCCCAGAGGTCCCCAGGAGGGCAGCACTGAGTTGCCCAGGGCCATAACACCCTTGGCAGCCCCCCCTTTGCTGGCTGCCTTCCCTCCCCGTCTCACTTTCCTTAGTCCCCTGCCCATGTTTTTGGGGATCCACCTTCAAATGAACCACTTGCCCTAGAACCCTTGTCTCAAGACCTGCTTCTGGGGAAGCCCAAACCAAGACAATCACTTATTCACCTGTAACTTCAGACAAGTCATTTGACCTTTCTGAGCAAAGTAAAATGGAAAAATAGTAGCAACGATGTCACAGAATAGCTGTGTGGGTTGAAGGTATGAGTATATGAAAAATGCCCACAGCAGTGCCTAACACTGCAAGCCCGTGTACGTGTTAAAAGTGACAATACTAGTAATAGTTTATTCTGGACAGAGCAAATACTCAATAAATGCTAATCATGATTGTGCTCACTTTTACCGTTTTTTTATTTCTTAAACACCAGCTATGTGTCAGGCCCTTGTGCCGGGCTCTCTTGTTTTGTTCACTCATGAATTTTCTCAACCACCCTCAAGCAGAGAGTCGATTCTTCCCCACTTCTCAGATGAGGGAACGGAGGCTCACCAAGGTGCAGCCCTCCTAAAGCCAATCCTACAGCTCTTCTGGGCTCGTTTGGAGGACAGGGGAGGTGGCGGGAGGGAAAGGCTGGAGAAGGTGGGGCTATTTTTCCCTACCACCTCCTGCAGTATCTTCCAAATGAGACGGGCCTCCAAGATGAGAAGAAGGTGCTGGACAACATGCACCATGTGATTTTGGTGTGGATTGGACCCGTCCTGCCGCTGTTGGTTTTGGTGCACCCTGACTACATCAAGCCCCTAGTGGGTGCCTCAGGTATGTGGGCTGGGCCTTTGAGTGATGGGTAACCCCTTAACTCCCAGAGCTCACTTGAGCTTCTAGGCACATAGGCTATCCAGGGGAAGGGCCATTTGAGTAGGGGTTTGAAGGATGAATAGGAGCTCACCAAAGCAGCCGCAGTAATACAGGTAGTGGGAATAGCATGGGAAAAGGTGGACAATATCTAAGAGTCCTGGGAAATTTGAGAGGATGTCTACCCATCTGGAAGTCAGATCCAAACATGTTTGGATAGGCAGTTGTTGGCCCAGGATTTTGTTAAGTGGTTGCTGCTTAATTCTAAGCCATGGGAGCCCATCATTTGCCTTCTGACATTTCCGCTGCGGCTCTTCCAGCTTCACCTGGGCTGCCCCTGGTTGGTGGAAGAAGAGATGCGGTAGGATCGCTTCTCCCTTCTGCATTCCACACCTCTCCCAAGGTGTAGGACTCCCAGGTCTGCTTGGCAAGCTCTCGTTCAACCTTCAACACCCAGATCCAATGACCCCTTCTCCAGGAAGACCTGGGGGTGACCCTCCAGACAGATCATGGCTTTCTCCTCTGGGCTTTTCCATTCTCAGTCCTAACCCTCTAAGGCTGAGTGTGTCTGCATCCAGCCCTGCCCCCTCATAGGAGTCTGGATCTGCAGTGTGGATGTAACTGGGCACCTCCAGAGGCATCAGGGGCATTTGAGAGAGGAGGGAGGAATGAAAGAGCTCCAGGGATTTTTAGATCTCTGGCCCCAGCTTGGGCCTCTGCAAACCCATGTCTAGGAGACCACCATCAAGGCTGCCACCCTGGAGCCATGAAAGAGGAAGGGCTGCCATTCTTCCCTTCCCAGCTATGCCCTCCCCACCATTACTGCATTTGTGAGGGGATGCCTACCCCACTGCACAAACGGGGAACCTAGACCCTGGGAAAGGTGACTTTTCCAAGGGATGGGCACCAAGTTGTGGGAAGAGCTCTCGGCTAGGACTTAGGCAGGCTGGGCTCTGATCCTGGCTGGAGCCGTACTTGCTGTGTGACCAAGAAATTCATCTAGCCTCACAGGGCCTCAGTTTCTGCTCTGGAAAATAGGGTGGTTGTGAAGGCTCCAGATGATGTGGGTAGGTGCTCCTGAGGATTTGTTCTCTCCTGCCTTTTTCATATCCTGTTTTTCTTTCCCCTTCTTCTCATTCTCTCCTGACTCCTCCTACTTCCCCCCGACTCCTAAGACTCCCAGTTTCCTGGGTACTGTCCTCCGTGGTTGTGAGACCCCAACTAGAATAGGGAGTGAAGCCCCCAGTGTGGCCTCAGTGCATAGCAGATGCCCAGGCCTCTGCCGCTCCTTTCCTCTCCCCTCCCCTCCCTCAGGCCGGGCAGGACATCCACTACCTCCCCTGCTGGAGGAGTCAGATGGGGGGCTCTAGCTGGGAGGGTGGGGCTGTGAGTCCGGACAGACAGGCCTGGCCCCAAGCTGTGGATCGCATTCCCCACTGGGGCCTCCACAGGGCCACACCTGGGGAGCTCGCTGCTCGGGGCCCAAACCCACACAGCCCATGGAGCCTGAGAAAGGCATGGCTCCTCTTGGACCTCTGTTTCTCCGTCTTCTATTGGGCAATTGGGATGGAGAGGATTAATGGGTGAAAGAAGGTGAAAATGATTTATAGAGGATGAAACATGATATATAGGCATGTAATTATAGCTTGTCTTTCTACATTCATTTTGTTTGGGGCTGAAATTCACGTAACATATAATTAACCATTTTAAAGTACACAGTTTTAAACTGTAAGGTATTTCGAGTGTTCCCAGTGTTGTGCAACCCTCGGCTCTCTCTCGTTTCAAACTTATTCACAGCTCCATAAAACAGCCTGAGCCCATTAGGTAATTACTTCCCATTCTCCTCTCCCCCCATCTCCTGGTGCATCCCCCCAATCTCCTTTCTGTCTCTATGGCTTGGCCTGTTCTGGATATGTCATAGGAAAGGAATTATATACAATGTGGTCTTTTGCAACTGACTTCTTTCACTCAGCAAAATGTTTCCGAGGTTCATCCACAGAGTAGCGATGACCAGGGCTTTATTCCTTTTTAAGGCTGAGTAATATTCCATTGTCTGGATATATAGATATACCACATTTGTTTATCCACTCCTCCGCTGACAGTTATTTGGGTTGTTTCTACCTTTGGGCTATTACAAATGATGCTATGAACAGGCATGTATGTTTTCATTTTCTCCTGGGTAGACACCAAGGAGTAGAAATGCAGGGCCATATGGGAATTCTACCTTTAACTTTTTAAGGAAACACCAAACTGCTTTCCACGATGGCTAGGCATTTATTTTTCACTAGTAGGGGCTTGCTGGGGGCTGGAGACGCAGATATTGATCTCACAAGTTCTTGACACCAGTGACCAATAATTATAGTCCTAGTTATAAAAATAGCCAGCAGTTGGTTAATTATTCATATGTGTGTACAAATATTTAATGAGCACCTGCCATGTGCCAGGAACATCTTAGCTCTTTGAGTTTTTGTAGGGATGGTACAAGGCAGGCAGGGTTGTTCTGTTTCTCCTGTGGCAGATGAGGAAGTGGAGGGACAGAGGGCTAACGTGCCCAAGTTTACACATGGAGTTAGTGGTCGGGCTGGGATTTGAACCTGGGCCTGGCCTGCCCAGAGGCCAGGCTCTCAACCACAGTGATATGGACTTTCCTGCTGGGCACTGCGTGGGGCCTTTCTTATATGACCTCATCCAGGATAGATGTTACCATCCCCTTTTTACTGAAGGGGACACTTCAGTAAAATGGGAAAGGCAGCCTGGACACAGACCCTCCTGGAATCAAGTGGTCAGAGTTGAAGTGGAGTAAGGACCCGAGGATGGGAGAACAAGGGTTCAGCTGGAGAGACTTCCTGGAGGGGGTGTTAGTGAAGCTGGGCCTTGAAGGATGTTTGGAGTTTGCCATATGAGAAGTCTCAGGTGGAGGGTTCTACCAGGACAAAGGTGTAGATGTGTAAAAGTACCAGGGGAATTCAGGTGACTTGGGGTGTCCGGAGGGAAGACGACGTGTGGGGAGGAGTAGGCGATGAGACAGGAGGTAGACTCAGAGCACCTATGTGCAAAGCAAATGAGCTTGTGTTTTACCTTGGGGGCGTTAAGGAATGATGGGTGTTGTTTTAAATAGGACAGCCATTGAACAGGTCTGTATATCAGAAAGACCCTCAAAGGGCCTAGGTTGGAGTCCAGATCCCAGATAGTAAAGGAGTGACCAGAATTCCACCTTCTTCTCCAATGTTGCCTCTTCCTGGAAGCCTGCTTTGACTTCCAGCAGCCCTTTTTCTGTGCCTCCCTTTGCTTCTGGCATACTTTCTATCTTGTAGATCATTGCATGGCGTGCCTCTGCTTCCCTTTCTCACCCCACCTGGAGCTCTTCCAGGCAGGGTGTGGAGCTGAGCCATCTCTGGTCCCCAGCATTGCCCAGCATGGGTTGGGTAAAGGAAGATGGTAGAAGAGATGTTCTGAATAGGAGGATGAGTGGACAGATGACTCTGTGCACGATTGGCCAGTTCTTAGGTACTGTGTGTGTAAGTGGCTGAGTCACATCTCAGATAAAAGTGACATCACTTGAATTTCAGGTACTTCCTTTCTGGGCCCCTGTCCATTCTGTCCCAAGTCTGCTCAACATAGAAAGGGAATTCACTCACTCACCCATCCATCTATCCATCTGTCCATTTTTGCATTCATTCATCCTTTGGTTGGTTCATTCAATAAAAAAGTTATTTAACACTAGGAGTGCCTGGGTGGCTCAGTTGGTTAAGCATTTGATTCTTGATTTCGGCTCAGGTCGTGATCTCAGGGTTGTGAGATCGAGCCCCACGTTGGGCTCCGTGCTGGGCGTGGAGCCTGCTTAAGATTTCTCTCCCAGGGCGCCTGGGTGGCTCAGTTGGTTGATTGTCTGACTCTTGACTTTAGCTCAGGTCATGATCTCAGGGTTGTGGAATCAAGCCCCGCGTTGGGCTCTGTGCTCAGCGTGGAGTCCACATGTCCCTCTTCCTCTGCTCCTCCCCCGTTCTCTCTCAAATACAAAAATCGCTAAGAAAAAGATTGTCTCTCCCTCTCCCTCTGGTCCTCCTTCCTCTCTCCCTCTCTAAAAACCCCATTATCAGTGATCAACGTGGTCCCTCCTCTCAGGGGGCCTGTAACTGGATGGATACAGTCTAGAGTGACTGATAGAGGAGGGATAGCATCCAAGCAGAGGAGGATGAGGGGGAGTGTTTGAGGCAGAGAGGGCATGTGGTAGACAGACCTGGAGCAGAGAGAGAATGTGACTTTTTCAAGGAGATGAGAAAATTCTGTGATGTTAGAAGATTGAGCATGTAGAGAATGGAGGATGGAGATGTTTTGAGAGAGGTCTGGACTGGGGTAGATGATTCAAGGCTTTGAAAATGGTCTGAGCAGCTGGTGGTTGCGGCTAATGAGTGTGAGTAGGAAGGGACATGGTCGGATCTAGCATCTGATAAGACCTCCTGGGACCAGAGTGCAGGGCAGACTGGAGACAGAGAGCACAGGAGGTGTAATTCAGATGGCCTGAGTTGGCAAAAAAGAGGGGTGATTAGGGTGAAGAGGGTCATCCTGGATGGAGAGCACAGGTTTGGAAGTAGGGCCAGCATGTGGGGTTATTTGGTGTGTGTTGAGGGGTGAGGTGGGAGAGGCATACAGGGGCAGGATGGGGCAGGGCCTTCAGTGCTAGCCTGAGCTTGAATTTTCTTACCAGGGTGATAGGGAGCCATGGGAGGTATCTGAGCAGGGGAGGCTCATGTTCAGATCAGCATGTTATAAGGATCTTTCTGGGGCAGGTTTAGAGGAGGAACTGGAGGGGTGAGGTGGAGTTTGGAGCTCAGAGAGGAGGCCCAAGGAGGTCATAAGCAGAGGTCAAGGGTCAGAACTCTGTTTTGAGTCATCACCAACTCTTCTCTCTCCACAGCTGCCATTGCCCCCAAGGATGACCTTTTCTATGGTTTCCTGAAACCTTGGCTAGGTGAGTGTGGGAGTGGGTGAGTGGGCTGGGGCTTCGGGGAAGAGGAGTGGGGTTTCTTGTAGGGTTTCAGAGTAATAGAAGAGGCCCTTAATCTCAGTCTTCTGGGCCCAGGAGATGGGCTGCTGCTGAGCAAAGGTGACAAATGGAGCCGCCACCGCCGCCTGCTGACACCTGCCTTCCACTTTGACATCCTGAAGCCCTACATGAAGATCTTCAACCAGTGCACTGACATCATGCATGTGAGTCGCAAGGTTTCTTGGGAAGAGGGTATCCTGGGAGTGAGACTGGTCCAGGCTCCGACTCATGGGTAAGCCGGGTGATGTCAGGAAGCTTCACTTCCTTTACCCTATAAAGTGGGCTTATAGTAAGCAGGCAGCTAGGTCATTGGCAGCCTGGCTTAAAGTCTGCGGTCTCCACGTCAATTTGCCGTGTGTCTCTTTCTCTTCCAGGGTAAATGGCGGCGCCTGGCACAGGGCTCAGTGGTCTCCCTTGACATGTTTGAGCATGTCAGCCTCATGACCCTGGACAGTCTTCAGAAATGTGTCTTCAGCTACAACAGCAACTGCCAGGAGTGAGTGTGGCCTCCCTGGGGAAGATAGAGCCCATTGCTTTAGGGCAAGGTGGTGGGAGAAGAAAGGAAACTCTCAGGTGTTAGGCATCCCGGGGCTATTGGTACTCTGCCACTGACGGGCTGTGTGTTTCTGAAAACTGACAGCACCTCTCTGAGCGTATCTCCTTATCCAAAAATGGAATCCCAATTCCTTCCCCATAGCCATCGTGTGAGTATTGAGATAATGTAAGTTGATGGTTTTGCATATAGTAGGTGCTTCATAAATGCTAGTTTCCCTCATTGCTCCATGAAGAGTAGTTTGGCCTTTGGAAAGTGTCTCCCCATTTTCTGAGCCTCAGTGTCCTTTTTTGTAAATCAGAATGACAATCCTTAACCCTCTGAGAGGTGTTTTAAGAATAAAATGATGTCGGGGCGCTTGGGTGGCTAGGTCGGTTAAGCTTCCAACTCTTGATTTTCGCCTGAGTCGTGAACACAGGGTTGTGGGATCAAGCCCCATGTTGGGTGGGCTCTGTGCTTGCAGAGCCTGCTTGAGATTCTCTCTGTCGCTCTCCCTCTGCCCCTCCCCCATGCTCCTGCTCTAAATAAATAACACTTTGTGCTTAAAAAAAAGAAATAAAATGATGCCACAGTGCCCTGACACATAGTAGATGCTCAATGAATATTTGTTGAATGAATGAATAAGATGACCATTGTCCTGGTTCATTCATTCATTCATCAGATATTTGTTGTGTTCCTACTATGTGTCTGATACTATGCTAGCTACTGGGAATATGGTGGTGAGCGACAGACTAAGTTCCAGTACCTTGGAATTTATAGTGTAAGTGGGTATATATTGAATAAGAGACATTGTAAATGGCAAGTTTGTAGCACATAGTAGGTCATTAATAATAAGCTGCTGACTTTGTTACTCTGGGCTTTGTAGGGTTATGCTTCAGTTGGGTAAGGTGGAGATGGCCTTTGTGATTGATTATTTAATTAATCGGGAAATATTTACTGAGTGCCTTCTATGCCCCACTCTTGGACTAGGCACTATGAATACAGTGGTCAACAAAATAGACAAGGTCTTGCTCCTCTGGAATTTACGTGTTGGTGGGAAGAAAGGCAGTAACCATGCACAAATAAAGAAACAAGAAAATGACAGACTGTGACAAGTGTATGAAAACAAGCATACTTCAGGACCAAGGATAGCCCCTTGCACACCTGTCCCAGGGATTATTTCATTTTGTTTTTTTTTCATTTTTAAAAAGATTTATTTATTTACTCATTTATTTGAGAGAGAGAGTGCGAGAGCAAGCATGGGGTAGAGGGGATGGAGGGGCAGAGGAAGAGGGAGAGAGAATCTTAAGCAGACTCCATACTGAGTGTGGGACCTGATGTGGGGCTTGGTATAATGACCCTGAGATCAGGACCTGAGCCAAAACCAAGAGTCAGATACTTAACCAACTGTGCCACACAGGCACCCTTTCGTTTGATTTTTTAAATAACAGTTTTACTGAGATGTAATTCACATACCGTATGATTCACCCATTTAATAAAATATACAATCCAGTGGTTTCTAGTATATTCACATAGTTGTGCAACCATCACCATAATCAATTTTAAAATATTTTCACCAAAGATAAGCCCTGTACATTTTAGCACTCACCCCCACTTCCCACTTCTCCCGGTGTAGGCAATCATGAACCTTCCTTCTGCTGCCATAGATTTGTCTATTATGGAAATTTCATACTGATGGAATGAATCAGACTTCTGTGTCTGGTTTTGTTCACTCAGCAAAATGTTTTCAAGATTCATCCATGCTGTGGCCTGTGTCAATATTTCATTTTTTAGGTTGCTGAATATTCCATTTACCATATAATACCACATTTTGTTGATCCGTTCATCTACTGATGGACATTTGGGTTGTTTCCACTTTTTGGCTATTATTTAAGCATTGGTGTATGAGTGTTTGTGTGAACAGATGTTTTCGATTTTTTTTTAATTTTTTTATTGTTATGTTATTCACCATATATTACATCATTAGTTTTTGAGGTAGTGTTCCACGATTCATTGTTTGTTCATAACACCCAGTGCTCCATGCAGAATGTGCCCTCTTTAACACCCATCACCAGGCTAACCCATCCCCCTACCCTCCTCCCCTCTAGAACCCTCAGTTTGTTTTTCAGAGTCCATCACCTCTCATGGTTCGTCTCCCCCTCTGACTTACTCCCCTTCATTCTTCCTCTCCTGCTATCTTCTTCTTTTTCTTTTTTCTTAAAATATGTTGCATTGGGCGCCTGGGTGGCTCAGATGGTTAAGCGTCTGCCTTCGGCTCAGGTCATGATCCCAGGGTCCTGGGATCGAGTCCCGCATCAGGCTCCCTGCTAGGCGGGGAGCCTGCTTCTCCCTCTGCCTCTGCCTCTCTCTCTCTCTCTCTCTCTCTGACTTTCATGAATAAATAAATAAAACATTTAAAAAAAATATGTTGCATTATTTGTTTCAGAGGTACAGATCGGTGATTCAACAGTCTTGCACAATTCACAGTGCTCACCGTAGCACATACCCTCCCCAATGTCTATCACCCAGCCACCCCATCCCTCCCACCCCCAACCACTCCAGTAACACTCAGTTTGTTTCCTGAGATTAAGAATTCCTCATATCAGTGAGGTCATATGGTACATGTCTTTCTCTGGTTGACTTATTTCACTAAGCATAAGACCCTCCAGTTCCATCCATGTCATTGCAAATGGCAAGATCTCATTCTTTTTGATGGCTGCATAATATTCCATTGTGTATATATACCACCTCTTCTTTATCCATTCATCTGTCGATGGACATCTTGGCTCTTTCCACAGTTTGGCTATTGTGGACATTGCTGCTATAAACATTGGGGTGCACGTACCCCTTCGGGTCCCTACATTTGTATCTTTGTGGTAAATACCCCGTAGTGCAATTGCTGGATCGAATGGTAGCTCTAATTTCAACTGTTTGAGGAACCTCCATACTGTTTTCCAGAGTGGTTGCACCAGCTTGCATTCCCACCAACAGTGTAGGAGGGTTCCCCTTTCTCCACATCCCCGCCAACATCTGTCGTTCCCTGACTTGTTCATTTTAGCCATTCTGACGGGTGTGAGGTGGTATCTCATTGAGGTTTTGATTTGGATTTCCCTGATGCCGAGCGAAGTTGAGCACTTTTTCATGTGCCTGTTGGCCATTTGGATGTCTTCTTTGGAAAAATGTCTGTTCATGTCTTCTGCCCATTTCTTGATTGGATTATTTGTTCTTTGGGTGTTGAGTTTGATAAGTTCTTTATAGATTTTGGATACTAGCCCTTTATCTGATATGTCATTTGCAAATATTTTCTCCCATTCTGTCGGTTGTCTTTTGGTTTTGTGGACTGTTTCTTTTGCTGTGCCAAAGCTTTTTATCTTGATGAAATCCCAATAGTTCATTTTTGCCCTGGCTTCCGTGCCTTTGGCGATGTTTCTAGGAAGAAGTTGCTGCGGCTGAGGTCGAAGAGGTTGCTACCTGTGTTCTCCTTTAGGATTTGGATGGACTCCTGTATCACGTTTAGGTCTTTCAACCATTTGGAGTCTATTTTTGTGTGTGGTGTAAGGAAATGGTCCAGTTTCATTCTTCTGCATGTGGCTGTCCAATTTTCCCAACACCATTTGTTGAAGAGACTGTCTTTTTTCCATTGGACATTCTTTCCTGCTTTATCAAAGATAAGTTGGCCATAGAGTTGAGGGTCCATTTCTGGGCTCTCTATTCTGTTCCATTGATCTATGTGTCTGTTTCTGTGCCAGTACCGTACTGTCTTGATGATGACAGCTTTGTAATAGAGCTGGAAGTCCGGAATTGTGATGCCGCCAGCTTTGCTTTTCTTTTTTAATATTCCTCTGGCTATTCGGGGTCTCTTCTGGTTCCATACAAATTTTAGGATTATTTGTTCCATTTCTTTGAAAAAAGTGGATGGTATTTTGATGGGGATTGCATTGAATGTGTAGATTGCTCTAGGTAGCATTGACATCTTCACAATGTTGGTTCTCCCAATCCATGATCATGGAACATTTTTCCATTTCTTTGTGTCTTCTTCAATTTCTTTCATGAGTATTTTATAGTTTTCTGAGTACAGATCCTTTGCCTCTTTGGTTAAATTTATTCCTAGGTATCTAATGGTTTTGGGTGCAATTGTGAATGGGATCGACTCCTTGATTTGTCTCTCTTCTCTCTTGTTGTTGGTGTATAGGAATGCCACTGATTTCTGTGCATTGATTTTATAGCCTGCTACTTTACTGAATTCCTGCATGAGTTCTAGCAGTTTTGGGGTGGAGTCTTTTGGGTTTTCCACATACAGTATCATATCATCTGCAAAGAGTGAGAGTTTGACTTCCTCTTTGCCGATTTGGATGCCTTTGATTTCTTTTTGTTGTCTGATTGCTGTGGCTAGGACTTCTAATACTATGTTGAATAGCAGTGGTGAGAGTGGACATCCCTGCCGCGTTCCTGACCTTAGGGGAAAAGCTCTCAGCCTTTCTCCATTGAGAATGATATTCGCTGTAGGTTTTTCGTAGATGGCTTTTATGATATTGAGGTATGTACCCTCTATCCCTATACTCTGAAGAGTTTTGATCAAGAAAGGATGCTGTACTTTGTCAAATGCTTTTTCTGCATCTATTGAGAGGATCATATGATTCTTGTTCTTTCTTTTGTTAATGTATTGTATCACGTTGATTGATTTGCGGATGTTGAACCAGCCTGCAGCCCAGGGATAAATCCCACTTGGTCGTGGTGAATAATCCTTTTAATGTACTGTTGGATCCTATTGGCTAGTATTTTGGTGAGAATTTTTGCATCCATGTTCATCAAAGATATTGGTCTGTAATTCTCCTTTTTGATGGGGTCTTTGTATAGTTTGGGGATCAAGGTAATGCTGGCCTCATAAAATGAGTTCGGAAGTTTTCCTTCCATTTCTATTTTTTGGAACAGTTTCAGGAGAATAGGTATTACTTCTTCTTTAA